TATAGGGTAGTGTCGGAATAACTGTATCAAGCAGATCATCCATGACATATTCCGCCAAAATTGGTGACAGAACAGATCCCATAGGACAACCATGTGTTTGAGAATATATTTTGTTGTTGAAAGAGAAATAATTGTTATGAAAAAGGAATGTTATAATGTTGGTGAAAGATTCTAGAGATATGTTGCAGTGTTGACTTATCTCATTCCAGTGTTTATTAATAGTTCTTGTACATGCATCCAGATAGATGTTGCTGAATAGCGACACCACATCAAGACTGGCGATAATATGATCGGCTGGTATTGTCAATCTATTGAACTGACGAGAGACCTCAAATGAGTCTCTGATGTAGTAATCATTGTCTGCATGTGCTGATTTTAGTGTTGTCGATATTAATGAAGACAAAGCCTGGGTGGCTGAACCTATTGATGCAACTATAGGTCTTACTGAGAGTACAGGTTTGTGAATTTTCGGAAGTGCATAAAATTTTGGAGGGACAGAGTTATAAGTACTCTCAGTAAGACCTATAGTTGCATCAATAGGTTCAGCCACCCAGGCTTTGTCTTCATTAATATCGACAACACTAAAATCAGCACATGCAGACAATGATTACTACATCAAAGACTCATTTGAGGTCTCTCGTCAGTTCAATAGATTGACAATACCAGCCGATCATATTATCGCCAGTCTTGATGTGGTGTCGCTATTCAGCAACATCTATCTGGATGCATGTACAAGAACTATTAATAAACACTGGAATGAGATAAGTCAACACTGCAACATATCTCTAGAATCTTTCACCAACATTATAACATTCCTTTTTCATAACAATTATTTCTCTTTCAACAACAAAATATATTCTCAAACACATGGTTGTCCTATGGGATCTGTTCTGTCACCAATTTTGGCGGAATATGTCATGGATGATCTGCTTGATACAGTTATTCCGACACTACCCTATAACCTCTTCTTCATAAAAAAATACGTAGATGACATTATTTTATGCCTCCCTTCCATAGGTCTGGATGGTATTGTCAGAGAATTCAACAGCTATGACCCCTACATCCAATTTACCATTGAAAAAGAAGATGAGAACCTGTCTGTCCCCTTTCTAGACACAAGACTCATTCGCACCAACAACAACAGTTTATTGGTAGACTGGTACCAGAAACCTATAGCCTCAGGTCGGTTTCTCAATTTTAGGTCATACCATAAACTAGGGATTAAAATCAATTTGGTAAAACAGATGAAAACAAGGGTAATCAGCATCTCAGATAATACCTTCCACACCTCAAATTTACGTAAACTATCAAAACTGTTCATCAATAATGGTTATCCGAAGTGTCTGATTAACAAGATCATTTTTAGTTCACCTTCCAATATTTTGCCGAACTCTGGTGATGCAGGTAATAGTCGCACAACCCCCAATAACGGAACTGATGTAATTCCCAATAATAACATCAATCCTAACAGTACTAGCACCAACCCTGACTCCAGACCTGGTTTTGCTGTCCTGCCCTACATCAAGGAACTGACCCCTAAGCTTATCAGATTGTGCAGTCCTTTGAACTTTCGAATTGCTTGCAAATCCGTCCTCACTATAAACTGCATTTTTTCAAAAATGAAAGACAAAGTCCCGCTGCTTGGCTTAACCAACACAGTCTACTCCATCAATTGCAACAACTGCAACCAAATATACATAGGTCAGACCTCCAGATCTCTTAAAGGAAGGATTACATCACACAAAAGTGATGCTAGGCTTCATCCTGAAAGATGCGCTCTAGCATCTCATGTTAACACAACAGGGCATTCTATGAATTACACAAGTATCAAAGTTCTTGATAAAGAAAAACACCTTTCCAAACGTTTATTCCTAGAAATGTCCCACATTTTCATGAATAACAACTGTATCAACAAAAAGACAGATGTTAAACAACTGAGTGTCATTTACTCATATCTGCTAAACTGCGAAAAATTGGAGAACTTACATATCTCCCCAAATTTCAACTCTTCACAACCATAATTAGAATCTGTGTTTTGGCCGTTTCCACCAGTAAATTTCATTCCACTCAAAATATAATAATTCTCTCCTCACGATTTATTAATAATTGTTAATTTAAATTCCCATTAATAATAATATAGTTTATTCAACTGCCTCTGGTCGGTTTAACAAATTCCATCATAAAATTCTGTAAATCTCTTCATCTGAAGTGATTTGGCAACTTTTTTGGCACACGCCCACAATTCGTTCCATCTTTCAATACTGACATTGACATCCTTCGGCCTTCTGTCAAAGGGTTTCATGTCACTCATCAATTCATCATTCCATGACCACTAATTTGTGCAATCATCAGGTGGTTTTCACGATGTAATGTTCTAATTTTTAAAATAATTTTTAATCTGTTTTAACGTGTTCTTGTCATGTTTTGTATAAATTTTGACTATTGTGCTATATATATATATATATCTTTCTTTCTACGCGAATCAGTATTGTCTTAAAAAAGAACCCTGTGGTTTTTCTCCGGTACTTGGTTCTCTATCGAACATATCTTCTTCAAGGCCACTTATTGAACCTTGCTTTATAAAGTTAGGTGTTTCGTGTCAGTCACTTTCCTCCTGAGATTGTGGTGTGAGCGCCATTTGTTTAACCTAGAGATTCTTTGATATTAGGTACCGAGCACCAGTTTGTGGAGTAGTACCCCTTCATATAGTACCTTACTTTTAGTTGTTTTGGTTTGGGTGCTACCCCGTCCATTTTCTTATGGGATTTCAATATTCAGCGGTGAGCTTTCTTCTTATACCATCGGACCACGCGCATTAATGCATGTCCTGAAGAAGTTTTTTCAATACTTGCTTTCTTTTAGTGAGAAGGCATTGCGGAGAACCACCACGCGGTCCTCCTTTTTTTTGCTAAAGGAAGAGGTGGCTTCCGGCAATACCAGCTGCAAAACAGCTACAAACAAATCTGGAGGAGTGTGTGGTGGTTCTCCGTAATGCCTTCCCACTAAAAGGAAGCAGATATTGAACAAACTTCTTTAGAACATACATTAGTGCACGTGGTCCGATGGTATAAGAAAAGAAAGAAGAAAACTTTGCTGAAGATTAAAATCCCATAAGAAAATAGACGGCGTAACACCCAAACCAAAGCAACTAAACGTAAGGTACTATCTGAAGGAGCGCTACTCCACTAACTGGTGTTTGGCACCTAATATCCCAGAATCTGGAGTTTAAAAAAATGGCGCTCAGACCACAATCTCAGGAAGAAAGTGAGTGACACGAAACACCTAACTTTATAAAGGAAGGTTCAACGAGTGGCCTTGAAGAAGATATGTTTGATTGAAAACCAAGTAACGGTTCTTTTTTTCAACACAATACTGATTCACTGAGAAAGAAAGATATACTACCTATGAAATTATACAATCAATAAACTATGAAATTTACTGAAAAAACAAAAATCATTGAAAAGGGTTTGGCCTAGGAATGGGCACTCTACCATTAATAAAGATAAATTCGAATTAAATGGTAAAATGGTAAAAAAGGTTACGTGATTTTGGCACATGACAAAAGGTATTCGGTTTGGTTGAACTACTTCAATTTTAGTGCATTGGCATACCCAGAATTTTGTTGGATTCGTTCGGTCTCATAATGAACATGATCATTCATATTTTGATAAAACCACATTTAACGGTATATAAAACCCTCATTTTTTCTTCGGTCTCTGTTTAGTATCTTCGGAATGGGTTCTATTTTTGCACAATTCCATGCAGTTTATCACCTTTTCAAGAGAAAAACAATAGATCATTGGTTATGAGAAAAAAAGCGACGTCAAAATTACTCATTGCACTTGGTACATACGACTACTTCCAGTTTTTTAGTCATCCTTATTCTTATACTTAATAATAATAATAATAAACGTCTTTATTTCCAAATGGACTGATTATATAAAAAAATAGCCAAATACGGGCGAAGTTCAGCTGTAGCTGCTCTTCCACTTAAACTTGCGTTTCTTATCCTTTTTCCTCTGTCTTTTCTCTAACGTTGTCAATCTCGGTGCAACTGCAACATTTCTCCAAAATCCCCTAGTCAACCAGACTGAATCGAGAACGGACAGCTCGATTCTGATTGGTCGAATCAAACGGCTGGATGTGTCACCTTCCGTGTAAGAGAGTGAATGGGCATCTAGATCCCAGTTTTCTTGTACTCTCACGGGCTGTGCACTGATGCTCAGCCTGAATCTCCTACAGACACACACAGCAGGATATTAGGCGAGGAAATATACGTTGAGAAAGGTGTATTATTCCTGAGACGATCCTAGTTAGGATGTTGTTTTTCAGCCAAGGCGCTATGTTATTGAATTTCCGAACGATTTTGTCTGTGCCTGATCATATAGCAGGGCTTTTGCCTGGCTTTGACTGAGGGCAGTCCGAGGTAGCAGGACACCTTGTAGAAATTCGATCCTGCGGGGGTGGCGCTAGGTACCGCAGTTACAGAAGAGTAGCGGTCACCCTGAAAGCTGTCCCATGCTTTCCAGAACGGTCTCTCAGGAAGTCTACGGAGTTATTCTCAATAATTTGTACATTACATTGAGTTGTAAAATTTTTGTCATTGGTGATAAGTTGCTACACAGGTTTAATGGTATTTTTTACGCTTGAACATTTGAACTATACAAGGTTAGTAGAAAAAACCGGAACGGTGGATTATCTTAGCAACCGTCAAACATAAATGAACCAAATTTTGTGCGAAGGGATAACTTAACAGGAAGAATTCTAAGATCATATTTGCAAGGTTGCCAAGTTTATAGCTTTCTCTCTAGGCTAGGGCATTTTAAAATTTTAAAGGGAATAACCTAATTTTAATTATTGTAATCAATTACCTGTATCAACTATTCACTCCTGTCAATTTCGGAGATATCGTCGTCTATACCGCAAACACGCGTAACTGATTTTATACAAATTTTCAGTGGAAGCAAAATGAATACCGACAGTTATTTGATTCCATATACCTTTTCTACTTTAGACAATACGATCATGATTTCCGATATCTCTGTGAGTGAACTACTTAGAGTTACACCACTTTGTGAGATTGAAGATATGCTATAGCTTGTTGATTTGAATCTGTTAACATAAATTTGATTTTTTGTCAGATACGCTTCTTTCGAAATTAATAGAAAAAGGTATGGTCAATTATCTCGAAAACGATCCAACCGAAATTCGCCAAAATTAGTACAGGAGAGTAACTGGATATTCTAAATTTAACTCAAATATCTTTCTTCAACGAAAACGTTTTTAAAAAGATTTATTTTTGAGAATAACCAAATACAATGATGTTAATTGAATGAGTTCTGAATCGAGACTGACTGCACAGTTCATTATACAAAACAAAGTAAAGAACAAATGAAATGCAATACTGAAACTGATAAGAAAGGAACGTGGAGGCAAAAGTCCTTGTTCAGCATCTTCTTCTCTATAGACTGGTACATAACTCCTCCACCCATAGAATGAAGCTTCCCCTCGAAGGTGAATTTCTTTCTTCTTATATCTTGAACTGGAACGGCTAATTCAATGTCGATTTCTAACTTGGATGCTTTCTTGTTTCTCCATCTTCAAAAAAATACTGGGTTTTCCAAAATTCTCTATGGAATTTTCTTCTAAAATTGGTAACATTCGATTAACTTGTAATTCTGGTAAATTTAACGTTTTCAGAGTAATTTGTGTCTCTGGGATATTTTGTTTCATAAAATGGAAATCCATTTTGTCAGCTACGAGGGGCTTTCCATAGGTTTTGTTTTGAAAGATAATTTGATTGTCTTGGAATGCTATTTGGCATTCACTGGCTTTGACTAAGAAAATGCCAAGTAATGACTTTGTATCGATTTGCTCCTTGCATTTAATTTTCAATTTTTCTTCGGTGAGAAATACAGCTAAATACTGGTTAATTTCGGGAATAAATTCAATGTGGTTTTCTTCAATCTGAAGCTTCGTCTATCTACATGGTTCTGTATGATCTTCTGTAATTATTGACTTCTCGCATTGGGCTTTGTATTGGCTAATATACGATTAGGGCATTGATAGATTCTACCTGGGGTACAAATCTCGTGCAGGGGTTTGATCTCATTTCGAGCAGATTTTAGCAAATACCTATAATTTGGGATAATAGTGACGAATTCTGATTTGTGCATCAGAGTCGGTATAGGTAACATATAATAAAGATCGAAATGTTCAGGATAATCTATAGGAGTAGATAGAAAATAACTTATTTGATTCTCATCGATTTTACAACTGATAGAAATAATAGATTCATAATCTAGCATATTTTCATACTTTACTTCAAATGGTAATTCATTTTTATAAAATGTGGATATCTTACGGAGTTCTTGAAATAATTATCTAGTCCTTATTATACTGGGATGAATGGTTTTCAATTTGCAAAAGTTATCGAATTTTTGATATCTTGTAAAATATTCAATATGGCGTTATAGAGGATAATTAATTGATTGATAATGTCCTTCGCTGAAAGAATATCCTGGTTTGTTATCTGGTTCAATAAAATATGTTTCAATTGTAAAATGTTATTTCTTAATGTCATCTCATTGTGCTGTATATCTTGAATAGTTCCGTTAAATTTTGCGACAAGTTCATTGTTTACTGAATATTGCATTCTCAGCTGATTTTGAATATGGTGCTGATTTTCTGGTAAATGAGATAAAATTTTATCAATACGTTCTCCATCGTCGGAGTCTAAATTTCCTGTTATTGTTTTTACTACATAGCCTATGCCATTAAGAAGTCCTCTCTTATTGCGAGTCTTTTGAGAATGAGATTTAATGTATTCGATTTTCTCTTAAATCAAGCTCCTTATATAAGATACTATCTTACTATAATTTTCTAGCTCGTTATTAATCTTAGAATGGTTTCTGTAACTATAGTTAAGATTACTGTATTGAATATTCAAGTCTTCATATTCCTTATATAAAGATGATAGATCATAATAGTGCACAAAAGTATGTTTTGTCTTTTGTAGCCTAGCTGTGCCTAAATTTACTGGCAAAATTCCTAAATTGTTCGTTATGTTTCTTATTTCTGCTCCGCATCCGAAATAGATGAGGTATCTGAAATATTAGTAAATTTAAATTGATAAGTTTTCTTCCTGGGCCTTTTAATATTGGATAAATGGATATTTTTAGAAGTATTGGCATGTGTGGGATCTATCTCCGCTCTTTTTAATTTCTTATCTATACTAATTAATTTTTCTTGCTTATACTTATTTTTAGTTTTCTGTTGCTTCTGCTTATTCTTAACATATACCTTGTTAGGAATATCAGGCAAAACTTCACGTTTCTCATTTGCTTTATTTATAACTTTTTCTTTATTCTGTAATATCTTTTCATTTAAATTCCTATATACTAATTTCATTTTTTCCTTATGATTCTGTAAATAATTATTTAATAATTGCTTATCTATGTCTATATTAAAAGGTGATTCTGTTTCATTAACATTTACTTCTATTCTAGATAAAAAGTCCGCATTTGTGTTTGATTTGCCTTTCCTGTAACAATGTCAAAATCATGTTCTTCTAATCTTAAGCGCCATCTTAGTAATTTTGAACTAGCATCTCTAACTGAAAATAACCATTGAAGGCTTTTGTGATCTGTTACAATAGTAAACTTACGTCCGAAAATATAAGGTCTGAAATATTTTACTGCATATACGATACTTATTCTTTTTCTGTCGTGCTATTCTTTATTTCTGAATCACTTAATGTTCGTGAGGCGTACGCTATTGGTAAATCTGAGCCTAATTTGCCTTGGGATAATATTGCGCCGATTGCATAATTACTTGCATCCGTAGTTATCAAGAATGGTTTGGAAAAATCCGGATATTGGAGTATCGGATCGTTTGTCAATAAAGTCTTGCATAATTCGAAACATTTAGTATAATCTGCGTCATTGGGATTAATAATTGCATCTTTTTTCAATCTGATTGTCAATGGCTTAGTGATTTTCGCAAAATCTTTTATAAACTTACGGTAATAACCTAAAAGTCCAAGAAAGCCTTTAATTTGCTTCTTAGTTTCTGGTATTTTAAATTCTGTGATTGCCTTTATCTTATCGGGGTTTGGTCTCACACCATCCGCCGTTACAACATGTACCTAAATACGATACTTCTTTTCTAAGAAATTCCGATTTGTCTAACTGTATTTTAAAATTTGACTGACGTAACCTTTCAAAAACTTCTCTAAGTCGAGAAATGTGTTCCTGTAAACTAGTACTGAATATTATAATGTCATCTAAATATACTAAGCATTTTTCATTTTGAATACCTCTCAGTATGTTATCCATTACTCGCTGGAAAGTCGCTGGCGCGTTTTTTAGTCCAAATGACATTCTTGTAAACTCGTAGTGTCCATTTTCTGTATTGAATGCAGTTTTTTTGAATATCTTCTTCTGCCATTTCTATTTGGTGAAAACCTGAAGCTAAGTCTAATGTTGAAAAATATTGGCATCGCCCTAATTTATCTAACAAATCTGTTATGTTTGGAAGAGGATAACGATCTCCCAATGTTTTTTCATTCAATTTTCTATAGTCGATGACTATTCTCCATTTTTGCTTTCCCGATGCGTCTAATTTTTTTGGAACAATCCATATAGATGAGCACCACGCTGAATGGCTCTCTCTAATAATTTTTTGATCAAGCATTGATTGTGTTTGTCTTTGTACTTCTTTTCGGTGGATTTCAGGATATCTGTATGATTTAGTGTAAATCGGTATTTCATCGCTTGTACGTATATGATGCTTAATTTTGCTAGTAAAAGTTAAGTAATTACCATCTATGTGAAATATGTCTGAATACTCTCTTACTTACTTGGTGATTGCGTCTTTTTCTTCAGAGTTCATATGCTCTGTCCTAATTTTGGAAATATCAAATTTATATTTTTGAAAGTTCAAAGAATTAATATTCGGTGGATCAGAATTTTCTGAAAATTCGTAATTTTCAAAATTTTCTACATCTATTGGTCGAGATATGTCAAGAGAAATCTGTTCTTCAGATAAATTTAATACTGTGCAAATCGCTTCGTGATTTTTCACTGTAGTAAGACATTCAGGGATTTCTAAACATGATAATTTTCTGTATGGAATAATAGCATTACCATTTTTTAAATTTTGTTATGTTAACTTTAATTATCTGTTCTGTTCTAGGTGGAACAGTGATAACATTAGAAGAATTTTTTGCAATCTGGTGATATTGCATGGGTATCCTTGTTGTGGGTGTGATTAAAAGATCATTGCTCAAATCAATGTTGGCATTCAATATCTCTTTCAGGTTATCGAGTCCTAAAAGGCATTGGAAATGTTCGTGAAGCTTGAATAAATGAAATTTCATGAGAATATTTTTATTCTTAAAAATCTTTGGACAAGGTATTGTCATACTATATTGTTCGATAGATGAACCATGTGCTGAAGTGATTTGATATGGGTCTTTTTGAATATGTCTTGAAAATAATTTTTTCGCAATTCCAGGGTGTATGAAAGATTTTGTACTTCCAGTGTCAATCAATACTTTGAGATTATACTCCGGAAATACAATGTATGGTAGTTTGCTACATTTGTCGGTTAAACTCATAATTTCAATTGACTTTGGTGGTCCGTTGAGACTTGTGGTTGTCTCTGTACCGAGGCTTCTTGCCCTAAAAAATCGTCAGAATTATTCTGAGAATAAGCGTATTCATAATTGTCATCATTTGGAAATTCTACAACAGGTTGGTCTTTTACACACAAGTTAAACATAGCCTGTTCTGCGTTTACACCAGGTCTGTTAAAATTTCTACCTTGAAAATTTGGTTGCTGATACGTCTGTCTAGTGGATGTACTCATCGGAGTAGGCCTTGGCAGATTATTGATCTGATTAGGTCTAAAAACGTTGAAAATTCGTTCTATTCTGATTAGGATTATTTGGTCGTACATTATTAGGACTAAATTGTCTTTGTAATACTGGACGCTGTGCCGCTTGGTATTGATTCCTATAATTACC